GGCTTTTAAGCCAGCCCATCATCATATAATTCAATTACCGCTAATGCATTAGCTCCCTTTTGTGATGACATCATATATTGACCTCTCAAGCTTCTCCGTACAACGTCTACACTCAACCCCGATCCTTCACAATTCTAACAATATTCCAACCGAACGTGTTGTGTTCGAACTCTCAAAATATGACATGTTTCTCTTTGACCTCAGATTTATAAAGGTAAGGTAAATCTGATAAATCTGAGGTGATTTCGAAACGAGATCGATTCATTGCAATGTAATTGGGTTTGGAAGATTTCTTTTATGTGATATATTTTAAAAGGAAATATGAGCCCTTTTGAATGGAACATGACTTCTTGTGACCGAAAAAAGCTTGTTCATTTACCTCAACATACAAAAGGTAAATCTGAGGTGATATCGAACGTGATCGATATCACCGCGATATAAATGGATTAGGATAATTCCTTTTGTGTTATATGATATCTGTGTAAAAGGAGTGATAGCAGGCCAGGGAAGGCAATTTGAAAAAGAACATGATATGCGAACGAAAGAAAGTAACTTATTCCATTCGAAGTTTCCACAACCTCAACATATAAATGCGGTAGGTCGAAGGCGCCGGTCTTGACCTCCTCTCGCTCAAAACATTGCCCACATTCCCCATCTGTTCACATTCACCATGCCACCAAACACTGGGAATTCTATAAAGCAAAATGATAAACAGGGTAACACTTATTGTTTATTTCCACCTCCTCCAATTATCAATTTATTTCATTTCTAATTCATTATGGTTGTCACCACATCCAGCCAGCCCAGGTCCCGATGGACTGGAGGCTTATCAGGAATACATAGCTTCCAAAGAGGAATACACCCCTGGTAAGGAATTCTTGTTCAAATTCTTTCTCTATCAATGAATTACTGATTCCTTCTTCTTTCCAACATATCCAGCCAGTCCAGACCCTGAGGAACTGGAAGCCTGTCAAGCTTACTTAGATTCCCAAGTGGAAAACATACCTGGTTGGTACTTTTGATGTTCATTCTCTGTTTGGTACCTGACCTACTTTCCATTCTGTTACAGACAGACGCTTCTGTAGCGCAGAACCTGAGGAGGTGGAGGCGGTCATGGATTACCTCAAGTCCGAGATGGGGCCTTCAATGATTCAATTTGAGAAGGAGGCACCATCAGAATGCGGTAGCTATGACTCTGTTTCATGCCGGCCTCGCCCTTTCTGCTATGCCTACCATGGCTTTTCGGAATCCGGTTACTGCAAATATTGCGAAGACACTCCCGAGAACAGATCGGTTGTGGAGGAAACATATGAGGAAGACGCTCCTGACACTACAAAAAATGTCATCTTTTCTCATGAGATTAGAAAAGTCCGGTGACATAGAAAATTTGGTCCATACTTTTCTTTTCTCACTTTACTATGTTTGTACGTCTGGATTTTACCTTAAGATATAGAGTACATTTTGATTACAAAATTTGCAATTGACTCCACAAACAAACCAAAAAATAGTATGCAGGACAAGATATATAATGACCCACTAGAAATATTTGAAATGATGATTCAAACATTATGTTTAGTATTTTATAGAAAACAATATGAAACCTAGCTAGTGAGGATTAGTACTTAAGTCAGATCTAAGTAATCTAAATGTATAATAAAGATTTCCTTTGATCGGAAAAAAAATACAAAAAGTAAAGCTACTCAATCCTGCACAGGATCTTTTGCGCACACATATCACTTAGAGAGTTGAGACGCTTGCTCTCAGATCCTCACAAACAACACCATTGCTAATTGATCATTTGACGAGTTTTATGACTGTAAGACAAGTAGTTTGATACATTGATATCACAAGGTCAAAATAGTATAACTTCAGATTTCATTGAATCACAAGACTGACGAGATCTGAGGCGAGTGGTGCGGCAGATTCGGAAACCGGTGAGGTGGGTTCAGGATTCGCTTGAGCTACAGCATCCTCAAAATCGCAAGTGCGTTTGCTAGGTCCAAAAAAGTGAGATGATCATAGATGATGTGATAGAATACAGGTAAAGTGATTTGTGATGAGAACGTTTATCATGATAAGCTGTGATTCATTAAAAGTTTACTCACTTCTCCCTAGAAAGAATTGCTCCAAGTCTTGCCACCTCCCTATTGTAATGTTTGACTGCGCGCATATACTCTTTACGTTCCGCACGTGCTTGCTTTAGTTGCTCCTTGAGTATACGATGGTGGGTGATAACTTCGGGATCAGGCAAACCCAATGCCATTTTAACATATTCCACTACACGTTCAGCTTCAAAGAGATAAGAAATAGTATCATGAACCTGATCCTCTAAACCGATAAGATGATCTTTAATCAAGTCGAGTTCTTGAGTGTTGAGAAATCGATAGCTTTCTATATGTCGTTCAATAGCCCGAGGGACCAAATGGTAGCAACCCGAATCAAGGTACATTCCAACATGCGTATTGAATGAGCGGATGCGCTCTGGTGAAGTCTGTTGTGAAAGTTCCGAGGTTGGAGTTCGAGTTTGGAAGGCCATGGCTCGTAGCTCAGGCATGACACTTGTCTGTGATTGACCATAGATCATGAAAGTTGGGAACATCGTGGCAACTTGCCTTAAAGAATAGTCAGGATAGAGAAAAATTAAACTGGAAACTGAGTGAAATATTACGGACTAACTTGAATATAGGTGATAATCAAACAAAACGGAGACAGGAAATCACTATGGTTTGGCCTGAGCGAGATTGGTATCGGTTATCATTATAAGAACAAAAACAAGATGCAGAGGTGATTTCAGAGGTCAAAGGGCATCGTTAATTTCCCTCAATGTTGATCTGTAGCCACCTTCTTACCCTTTCCTAATCTCATTCCTAATCTCATTGCTTGCCCCACTCATGCATCACTTGCATGCATGGAATTGTTTATGAACATTCGATAATATACTTATAAAGTCATCTCAATCAATCGGTTGTCTTGAATTAAGATGGATATAAATTCCTTCCTTTATTATTTCCCAACTCGAGCACTAGGGATCGTGAAGGTATTGTCATGACTATCACTTGAAGTCTGGAAAACGGGCAACTTGTTGATTCTGCACTCTTACCATCACACCCCAACTCAACCTTTCAACGGTTCACTGTGATATAACAACAGGAAAAATACGTATGTGTTTCTATGATCTCCTGTATAATGATATTCAAGCAATCGATCCCGCCACATCATAGAAAAGCACAACGTGCGTGAACTGAAGCAATCACTGACTCAAAAAATACATCTGTCTTTGATAAATCACCACTACCTGCTCTTTTCGTATATCAGATATCTAATTCGGAATATCACAAAGGTAAACCGTTACATTCATCACTGATACAAGATCAATACCTTCGAACAAGTTGTCTTTGGTATTTTTCCGATTATAAGCTGTTGATCTAATTGTTTGTATTCTTTTCCTCAGATATGACGAAAAGCAAAAGCCGCAAAGGGTCGATCAAGTCTCCTGGGGCTGCGATGTTCACTGATAATGGGCCAAAGATGAAGGACCCAGCTAGCCCTACCCCAAACTCAACCCAAACCGCCAAAGATCCCAGCACAAGTCAAAATCCTCAATCAAGCTTCTCAAACCTTTTCAATCATCCGTTGTGGCCTAAAATACAAGCCTTACCTAAAGATCTCCATGTGTTTCTCGAATCCGACTTTGAATCAATTGCTTCAGGAATAAAGAACTTAGCTTACTACAGGGTCTTGGTTCACTTCAATCCCGAAACAAGTTCTCGTCCGACTCATAACAAGGCCAAGCTGACTAAAGACTTTATGACCGACTTGCGACCACTTCTTGAGCCATTTCTTATTAGAACATCGGTTCCGACGCCGTCTGAAACTCTCAAACCCGATATTGATTTCGATCCGCTCAGTCGTCATACCACCCGTGGAATGTTATGTGACGCTATCCATAGCCGTCGCCGAGGTGTTACAATTCGCCAAGACGCCCGAATCGATCAAATCCTGGTACTCTACAAGGCTTACGTCGATCCTGATCTAGTCCTACCTATTAACAAGGAGTTCAGTTGCAAGCCCAAGATCCTCGCGGCTGAGAAGGCTCAAAAAGGGACAATCGAATTCTTACGATTTTCACTCCAATGTCATGCTCCATACATATTTATTCACTCTGTTGGCCTGGTGCATCCGGTTCTGGTTGACTTGTACATAAGATTTGTCTGTGACGAAGATGTTCCCGAAGGACGTGTTATCTTGGGATATCATTATTCTCAAGTTTCAGACATGATGCCATCAGCTATGCAAGAGTGACTTCGTACGTTACGTCATCTGTCAACAAAATCTGTGACAAATTTTTAACCTACTTTCCTTGCAACACAGACTATCAATCAACCCATTAAATTTTTCAAGAAGATGTTTCACGTAACCAATCTCTGAAACACTAGCTTTTGTTCTCCATGGCGATCCTTGTTTAAATAAACCATCAGAATTCATGTTTCAGCCTAAACAGAAGAATGTTCTAGTAGGAATCTATTTCTATGTAATATATAGGCTTATGGTGTAGCTTTTTGTGGATTGTGTTGCGAGTGAAACTTTGTACTTGTATTTGAATAACGGAGGTGGCAGACTTGCTGTGATTCCCTTCTCGGACTACATACCATTGTCGCTCTCCAGACCTACACCTTGTTTTATTGCCACCAAAGTTCTTCTCTCTTATCTTATTCTTGGTCCTTCAACTATCTGTTAACAATCCAACATCTATACTGTGTGCTTTGTTTTGAGGGAATGGCTCCTCGCCAAAAGCAGGCTGGGCGTGTCCGGCGTATCGTTTGCTGCTGCAAAGCTTTCCAATGCAGTTCGAGCGTGTATTTGGATGCGTATGGAGAACAGCAACCCGGAGTTGAACTTACTCGGGAAGCGTACGAGGCTCATCAACGTGCTGAACTTCGTAACCAGGCTCAAGAGTCTTTGGCCTCATCAACAAGCCTCAATATCGAAGGCCCTTTGCTTCAGCCTAGCAGTGGTTCAGATCAGAATGATTTGATCACATCACTTGCACAGATCTCTTTACAATCATCACCTAGAAGACTGTCTAGTGATCGCCTGAATGTAAACAGATCATCAGATCCACATCAACAACCTCTGGTGGTGGAAAACCCACTGCTTGAATCTGGAGATCGATCGAACCCAAATCACCGACCTCAACTCTCAAACTCCAATCCTTCCGCAACATTGGAGGATGCAGAAGAGATGCCATCAAGAACTTGTCCTGCAGCTGTTATCGCCAAATCTGAAGGCGTCAAAACGCATGATTGTAGTAAGTCTTTTCTTTTTCCTACTTTCATGTCCGAAGTTCTCCATATACTAATTGATTTTCCTTTGCAGGCCGATTTTACAACTTTACGCTCACAAAAGTCCCGGCTTTGGCTCTGCACGCTGTTCTGACATCAGTAATAATGAACATATATGATCATTCATCAAATACTACAGCTGCCTGGTTACTTGACGTCCAGCGAATCACGATTGAATTATCTTGGACTCTTGGACTTGTACCATGCCTCTCACCGACTGCTCGCGTCCTTCTTCCAGCCGAGACTGTTGCTCTACGTAAAATACCAAAGGGGATTAGTACTGCTATTGGCTGGCTTGAGATTGATCCTGACCTGATATATATGAACTGCTGCCGAGCATGCTTTGCTTTGCATTCACCTACCAACACACCAATGCGATGTAATCATAAAATATCTAAGATTCCGGGTGGGCCTATTGATGAAAACGATCCTAATCTTGCGGCAAATCCAACTCTAACCACGAATCCTGATCATGACTTTACCGAAACAACTTGCGGTGAACCTCTAATCAAATTCTCAAGAGGAAGCGAGAGACCTGTGCGGCAGTACGCTTTTCAAAATCTCTCTGATTGGATATCACGCTTGTTGTCGCGTCCAATGATTGAGCAGTACCTTGATAAATCCCTAGAGGAATCATCAAAACCATTCGACTCTGCTTCCGAGATCAGCGATATTCACCATTCAAAAATATGGAAAGAATTTCGAGGCCCAGATGGAAAACAGTTCACAAAAACCAGTGGAAATTTGGTTTTTGGAATGTTTGTGGATGGTATTAATCCGTTTGGAAATAAACAAAGTGGTCATCACACATCTATCACTTTTATCGTTCTTGTTTGCCTCACACTCCCATTTGAAATACGATATCGGCCTGAGAATATATTCATTGCTGGAGTTGTTCCAGGACCACGCGAACCTTCACTGGAACAGATGAACTGGGTGCTGAGGCCAATTGTGACTCAACTACAAACTCTATGGAATCCCGGACTTTTACTATCTCAAACTCATCTCTACAAACAGGGACGCCTGATCAGGGCCGCATTACTGCCTTTCATCGCCGACATCCCTGCTCTGAGGCGCTCTCTTGGTTTCCCGAGTGCAACAGCAACCTATTTTTGCTCGTACTGTCTTCTTAAGAAAAGTGAAATCAATAACTTTGACACCACATCATGGCCATTACGAACTTGTGCTCAACACAAATTATGGGCCCAACAAGCTCGGGATGCTAAAACTGTCTCGGAACGGAAAAAAATCTTCAAGACTCATGGAGTGCGATACTCTGTCTTAATTGAGTTAGAGTACTGGGACATCATTGAATCTCATGTGGTGGATTCAATGCATAATCTTTTGCTTGGTCTGTTCATGTCGCATTGTAGAAGATTTTGGGCGATGGCAGAAATTACTAGTGAAGAAGACAAGGTTCCCGGGATCAGCACAAATGAGCTGCTAGATCTACTAACAGAACACTCCAAAAAAATCCCCAAGAATCGCAGCTTGCCGACAGAGGAGAAATCTGTGGAGGGTGATAATGTGATAGACCACTCTTTTGATGATAGTACAGATACAAGTGATGCTGAGTTTGATCCTTTGGATAATGATGGATGGGTTGGCGAGTGGGTTTCTCCACCTCTTGACGAGATAATATTTGACGCAACCATGTTACAACACATCAACTCATTCCTACCAAGAATTCATATTCCGACCTGGATAAAGAGAGCAATCCCAGTTCTTGGAAAGGCTTCCTTTGGTAAACTTAAAGCTGACGAGTGGAGAAATTTATTCTCCATTCAATTACCCTTGGTATTGATTCCAAAATGGTCTGGTCACGATCAAGTCAAGACTTCTTTGCTGCAAAACTTTTGCCACCTAGTATCCTTAGTCAACCTAGCTCTCAAACGAGAAATTACAGCTGGTCACATTCAGAAATACCGTTATCATATTCGAGAATACTTGGAAAGCTCGGTTATACTTTTTCAGCATTGCACCCTGACACCAAACCACCATATGGCCATTCATTTGGCTGACTGTCTTGAGAAGTTTGGCTCAGTGCGAGCTTGGTGGTCGTTTCCTTATGAACGTCTGATGGGAAATGTTTTGAAAGCCTGTCATAATAATCATATCGGTAAGTTTCTGTTGTCATTAAAGTTATACTACACACTATTCTTAGCTAAAGTGAGATATTTGTATAATATTGCAGGGCAGCTCGAAATCACCTTTGTTAAAAACTTCTGTCGCGCGGGGAATCTCTCTGCTCTCCTTCAAGATGAGCAGAAACTCCCAGAGGAACTTCGACCCTACATTCCGCATTTGAAATCATTTTATGAGCCACAGAATCCAAAGCCCAGGCGCATGTCCAATTCTCGGCTTGAACCACTGAGTGAACACAATCTAGCACTCTTGATTCGGCGTCTGAATGATGATAAGTGTGATAACTGTACATGGTTGGCTCCTAAGGCATGGGCTACTTTATCGTCTGATGATGCACTTGGTTATGCACCTGTTCCTGCCCGAGCTTGTTTTCACAAGCGAGTTGAACATTGTGGAGTCACCTACTCGAATTTCGAAAGTAATATGAATGACAGCTTTGTTGTCTTCCGATCAAGATCAGACACTTCTGATTGTTTTGGACGTATATCGAAAATATTTGAACACCGTCGGTCTCCAATGTTTGGTGAAAATATAATTGATACTTGGCTCCAAATTCAGTGTTTCAAGTCAGTACCATCATTATCAAGCAACCCTTTTGCACGAGTCAAGATGCCAGATATGAATATGCATTTACGAGTATGGGATGCACCCGAAGATAGAATAGTTAGGCTAAATGAGATCATAGCTCATTGTTCATGGCTAATGTATAAGCCCAGAGAGTTGAATAAGAATCTCAATATGTCTACTGTGGCTCTAGTTTCAATGATACGATGAGGGAGATGTCCTGCATTCCAGTGCTAAATATCTCAAAAAATCAATACATAATATAGATGAAATATGAAATGAAAGAGATAAATACATGATAGAGAAGAAAAATGAAATTATAGAAAACTTGCATGACAAACATTTGAGTCCTGTTTAAAGCCTTTCTACAATTGGAAGTAGATCTTTCAGGATAGCTTTGGAACTGATTCCCAGCTCGCTCCTCTCAAGAGGAGAAAGACTCTGTAGCCATCGCTTGGAGTAGCAATCAATAGGAAGTCCTGGTGGAACTGAGGTGTGGGTTACTGGCCTGTCTTCGCCACGCGACCGCGGCCTGTTAGGACGGCCACTTTGTTTTGGTGACTTGTTTTTACCTGGTGTGCTGGAGTCATTTTTTACCTTGGAACCATCAAGTAATATGCAGATATGTTCCAGCTCTTTGCTACGCCATTCGAGATTTCGAACACGACAGGGTCTACCTGGCCCCTGCTGGGCTTCAGTAGAGCTTGTCGGCTCATAATCTGTCTCATCATCGCTACATGCCACCGTGATAATTTTTGACAGTGGCCATAGTGCTTGATGAGTAAGTACAATTTTTTCACGCAGGCGTCGCAGCTAATATTCAGAACATCCAATGAAATAAGTTTGCCATTGATTGTGTATGTTTGAAAATAGTACTTACATATCTTAACCTAGCAGTTCTCCGAACTTCATTATTTGTTGTTTTCCTGCGCTCCTCCTCCCAATTTTCGTTCTGATAACTATAAGATGCCATTAAGATAAGTCTATCAACAGGACTATTCATGATTGTGAATAAGATATCATCTTCAGACTTACCGCTTTTTGAGTGACAAGGCATGAGTATAAAGACATTTCTTTATAAAGTCACGATTGTCATTCTGGAGAGGCACTCCAGTGTACTCTCCACATTCAACCAGTTTTATGAATATCTTCAACGCAAGATCCCATAGCCACTTGTTGGGCTGCGATTGAGGCGGTTCCGAAAAGTCTGGACGAAAGCTTGAGACTCCGACAGCTTGCATCATATTCCAAATGATCGAAAGTTGCTGAGGAGTGGAGTCTTTATGCCCGGGTCCATTTGGATACGGGAAACATGGATCAACTGGCTGAAAAGGAGAGTTTTGAGAGGGAGGAGCATCTTGATCGATATTGATACTGGCAGGTTCAATATCGCACATCCAAGTGCTCCGTTCAGTCTCAGTTGCAGGGTCTGGAAGATTCTTCTCATGCTCCTTCTGTCCAAACATTGTTTCAATGTGAAATCGAATCCGAGCCTGATGCAAAACCAACGTTCAATTCCAAATCCAATCTGAGCATATACAAAAACAACTGACCGATGTTTCCCCACCACGTGGCTTAGTACCACTGGTCTTTGGTGAGCGTGTTCCAATTTGTTTGTTGATCACGTCTGTCATCATTTCAAATCGTTCTGACATCGCTTCAAGTCTCCTATCGGTCCTTGCATTGTGAGCTTCAAGCTTATCTACATGATAATGAACATCAGCGATCACACCGCGGCTCAAGAAAACCCAAATACAAGGATACAAAACTATACTCACAGATCTTCTGAAGAAGCCACTCTGCACTGCCAGTTTCCAGCTTATCGGACTCGTTCTTTGATGGGTTTTCAGGATTCAAGCATTCCGATTCATCTTGCGATGTAGGCCCCGGGTCTTCCTTGCCAGATGTAAAGTTGCTTTTGCTACTCTTTGTGCCTTTGGGCTTGGAAGTTTTGCGTGAGATAATTTCCTCATCGCTAGCTTGACTGGAATCGGGGTCTGATGTATTCGAGTTGTTGGAATCAGAGATAGATGGATCGTAGTCATCGCTTTCAGATGCTTTGAGTTTACCCTTTCCTGAATATTTTTTGGGTTTTGGTGATCGTCTTTTGGTCAAGCGCACTCGAGTCTTATTTGAGCGAGTAGTCTTGAGACTTTGAACCGATGGTACAGATGGTCCTGCGGCAGGTTGTTGGGAATTATCCCGGCTCGATTCTGAAGAAGCAGTTGAAGTTGTAAGAACACAGTCCCATATATTAAACACAATTTCAAGGTACTGACTTTCTTTGGGCTCCGATGGTGTTGAATTTTCAAAGATGAATTTTTGTAGGCGGTCCGGTATGACAACTCAATCATGGTCATAGTTATGTCAGATTTCAATCCAATTGTTTAGGACAATTTAATAAGCTCACTCAATTCGCTGTACGTCTTGCAAGTTTTGATGAGGTTTGTGCGATCAAAGTCCGCGGCATCGACTCCCACTCCACGAATCATCTCCACAAGGTCGGAATTCGCAAATAGAGAAAAATTCGGACCATCACCGGATGGCTGACTGGGAATTTCGACATCAGGTATCTCTTCAAATGGGGTGTTCTTGTCACTGCGTTTTCGCGTGATGTCTGGAACTAGCCTTCCAGACATTCGAGGCATCTTCTTGATAACGTGCCGCGAAAGTAATCCAAGCAAGCGATCGCGCTGAGTTTTACGTCCAACAGTTACTCCAGCAGCCTCTAAAGATTCCTGTATAGCGCTTGGGCGGTCTCCAGTTTGGGCTTGAATAAAAGGATACGTTAGAAGTCATATTGTAAGTTGTTCTGTAGAAGTACTCAGACTTGGCTTACTGGTTTCTGGGACGGATTCTTCTTTCTTTCGTTTTTTTGAAAACACTTCGATCTGCTGAGTTGAAGACTGAGGAACCCGCTTTTTGACCATGATTCCTGATCGGCTCAAAAGATAATGTCCAAGATGATAAGTTTTGCAATTTGAATAATTTGAAATGATTGTAAGTGTTGATAAAGAACTAAAAGTTTGACTAAATGATAGCTTTTAAAAGGCAGGAAGCTTCAAATGATGAGTTTCATGAATCGAAACCTTGAGATGATAGTTTTCAAAAACGAAAAAAAATGATAACAATGACAATTTTCAAAAAACAGAAAAGTTAGGAACAGTGAGTATTTTGAAGAAGTCTGAGATGATAATGATGTTTCAAAAAGCAAAGAAGTTTGAAATGATAATCAGTCTCTTGAAAACAAAAAAGTTTGCAATTTAGAAGAGCTTAGCCAGTGATGAAAACGGATGTGTAAAAACAACACGGTTGGGACATCGAGTTTTTCAAAGACGTGGAATGATGTATCTGATCAAAAACGCAAAGTGTGAGCTGATTAAAAGACAAAGAAGATGAAGCCAACTAACACCGAGAGATCCTTACATGAAATGGTTGCCATGACTGGCCAATCAAAATGCTTTTGTTTGATTTGGTTTAATTACCTTCCCCCTCACGATACACCCTGAGAATAGAAAAGTCATCAAGAAAGGATGTCATGACAGTGTCATCGGCTCAGAGTTAGAAAGGTATCTCCTCTTTGTACTAACACCTGATTTGCAAGTTCAGATTCAGATGTTCAGTCTTGAATGGCTCTATTCATCGTAAAAGATGATCCAGAAGTAGAACAACCATCTATAACAATTTATATTTCTACTTGCCCAATCGTTGGAGTACATACCCAAGCACAAATCCCAAGATAACTATGTGATTTGATGAGTCAAATATTATATAACATTAAATCAACCAACATGTATGCCAAACCAATAAAAAGTCCCTTCAAATCGCTTGTTCTTCCGTCCCCGCTTCCTTAACATCAGCTACCATAATACCAAAGAAATTATAATATGGAAAAATTATGTCGGTGGCACCGTCGGAGTGGTTTGGAATTCAGTCCAATAATTAAGATTGACACTATAAACTTGCTTTCATATCTGGATGGATGATCAGATATGACTTGATGTCCATGAGTATATGTATGCTCTTTGATTGGGTGATTTTCCGCTTGTTACAACGTTTGAGATTTCATTGAGTAGAGGTGATATAATGGAGATAAAATACGTTCATGTAAAATAATTATTTTTAAAAAACAAAATATTTCCAAAAGAGACTTAGTGATAGATTCATAAAATGACAAGTAGTACTAGAAGTACCAATTTACTCGGAGCTGGAATATTCAGAATCTGGTAAGCCCATCATCTTGGTAATTATCTCTTCCTGTTTTTGAAGTTCTGACAAAGCTTCATCTAAATTCTCCTTCATCTGTGTGAATTTTTGCTCAATACTGGCAATTTTACCTTTAAGTTGATCAATTGTCCCGGTCTTCTTTTCAAGGAGTGCCACACGTGCTTTTAATTCCTGAAGAAGATCATCTGCAGTTTGGGTCAGCTTTTCAAGTGTGGTGAAAAAACAACAATTAGTATTACTCATACCTTGTTGACGTGCATTTTTAATGGCTAATGTATGATCAATAGCTTCCTTTTCGGCCATTTCAACCTTGCTTGTCAATCTTGATAGAGATTCTTCAAGAGCTAGGACTAAATGGATCTCTATCAACATTTGCAAAGCATATGTAGGAAAGGATAGGCACAAATCACTTACTTTTATCATTGCGAAGTTGCTCCATCTGGAAAACATTCACACCCGACTTTGGTGTTTCATTGTTGATAATTGAAGGTATGACACGGTCCGGCTCTGATTTTTCAAGGGAGAGGTCAGACGCAGTACTTGGTGAGAGATTCAAACACAATAACTCACCATGATTCTCGGTCTCAAAGAGATCAAGGTCCGAAAATTCAATCAAGTCGGGATGGACTTTTACCTTTGTAACACTTGGAATGACGGCACTTTCCGGGTTCAAATCAACCAGATTGCTGGTTTGTGTCTTCAGACAGGTTGATTTTGGTGGAATACGTCGAGATGTTGGCCCATTGTGCTGAAAGGAGACTAGATCAGGACTCATAAACGATTTCCCAACTTCTGGTCCAAGGTGATGTGCACTGATAAATTGGGTGGTCGATTCAGACTTTTCAAGTCTCCCTTCGTTATCTAAATCTTCAACAGCATCTGGCCTTGTGTGCTTTGTCGATTTCGGTCGTTGTGAGGTCTTCAATTTGGAATTAGCATAGCTTGACTGTAGTAATTAAAGCAGGGAACAATGATTGCTTACCTTGCTTGATTTGGGAGTCACACTTGTGATACAACGGGAGGCTATTGTTGTAGGATACACCATCATGATGATATAATGTCAGTGTGAAGTCTCGAGAGTATTAATTCTAAATTCAGATACAGTACCAGTTGCAGATCGCTTGTTGATTTTTTTGTCGGTCTCATTTGATACCGATCGCTTTCCCAGACGAGCAATCGATGATGATGTTAGATGGGTGTCCGGGTCCGTTTTGGCGATCTTAGAGAGAGTAGAAACAGAGGAAGGATGTGACGTGGAAGCGGTAGGAGTCTCTTCTTTCACTTCCTTTGGGTTTATGGTGCTAGATGTGCCGCTTCTGTCGAATCTTTGGGCTGGCGATGAACTAGTAGGATCTGGAAAGACTTGATATGTTCAAGATTAGATAATTTAAAACAACAATTAACATTCTGTTCGAGAAGATCACTAGGCGGAAATGAGATCTACAAACACTCAGGCTGCACTTTCCGGACAATCTCGGCAATCTTTGATTTAGTTAGCTGACCATCAATCGGTGTCATGGGATGGTTTATGTGTAGCCAATCAAGCATCATCTGCTTTCCAACACCAGGTGAACTTGGATCAAGCACGTTTGAATCGGAGGCTGGATGCAACATGCTAGGTATGAAGTGTTGGGAGATTTTAGGTAGGAAATGATAGAAATTTAGATAGAAGTGAGAAAGGGTGTTTATCAAAGAAATGTGTAACGGTCTCTGGCTTCAAAAAGAGTCAAAAAAAGAAATGGAGAGAGTTATATAGAAATAGCTGGAAAAGAGAGATTGGTTTTACAAAAACGCAAGCCCACCGATCGGCAAGTTGTGAGGGAAGGAGGGGGGCATCGTATAAAAAGAGAAGCCTTCGTAATTAGAGTTTCTTAATTAAGATGACTTGGCAATTGAACGGTGAGCCACTTTTACGAATCTGTTTTTTTGATAAGATACACTGCGACAACAGAAGAATTTTTTCCTTGATGATTTTGGGGTTCCATGCAAGACGGGCACTGAGTCTAACACACATATCTATCCAAGAAATTTAACCAAAGTGAGAAAAGAAAACCATGATCAAATTTTCTGTGTCATTTGGGATTTTCTCATCTCATGAGAAAAGATGAAATTTTTTGTAGTGTGAGGGAACTCAAGAGCGTTAATTATTTGGAAAAATAAAAACAAACGTATTGAATTAAAACAATTAAATTAAACAATTAATTGTTGTCACTTTCCTTCTTCGCACTTAACAAAAAGCACCCATAATGAGAGAAAAACAAAAACATAAAAAAAACATAAAAACAAGTAAACAATTAATTGTTGTCAGTTGCCTTATATTTGCCTAACAGTACATTCCCAAGAACATCACACATATCATTACACTCATGTTGTTGAATAAATTGTTTGAATGCGTGTTTTATCTTATCGGGCATGTTTGGATCATTGCGGCTGTGGTAAGGAGTACTCCTAACACGTATCATTGAATCAGATCTATTCAATCCATGCCATAAACAATCAAGAGTAACTAACTTTTTATCAAAGCATACCACATTACTGATGTTTCCATGCCGATCACAGTCAAGATTCGATATCAATGTTTGGCCCGCGCTGAAATCATAAGTGTAATGATGAAATGCGTATATCAGGTCACTCCAGAGTCCCCGTCTTGCTGGGACATTGTAATAGTTATCCTCGCATATAAATCGGTGGCTTGTAGCGGTTTCCTCCTCAACAATTTTCCACCTAGACTCATCTTCGTAGCGGGAGCCTGATGATTGCATAACACATATTCGCGCAACCTCAAAATTCAAAGCAACGAAGGAATAAGCAACTTTCTATATATACATAACTCAAAAATCGAATTACCTTCATGCCTAATGATTGTTGGTGCCAAGTTTCAATCAAAGGGTCTATCTCTAAGCGGCCACCTCCATCCATTTTAAAGAAAAGATCGCGTTTGAAGCGTTTCAGAGCCATTTGAACGTATCTATTGGTTTTGAGCACGCTCAAAACAATGCGCTCGTCCTTGTGAGTCCATGTCCTTCCAAGAATGATGAAATTTGAGATGATACCACCCTGATATTTCTCGGTGATAAAGATAAATCCATCGCACAATCCAGTCTTCTTCTTTCGTTGCTTCCTTAATCAATTGATAGGACTTGAATCCAATACGATCTTCTAGTCTGTCCAGATCCACATATTGATCGTAAAAGTTACACTTATCTTTAAGCTTGATTGCCTTCAAACGATATATAAGGCCTTCTTCTTTGAGACCTAGATTCTCTATATGTTCATAGTAAGGTACTACTGCGGTTCGTGTTATATGTGCCATTGAGGAACACTACACCAAATGTAATCTTTACCGGGTGGTAAAGAAAACTACTGACATAGAAAAGTCCTGAGGCACCAGGAAGAGAGCTAAAAATCTGAAAAAATATGCACCTTGTTCCTAGATGCTGGGGCGTCATGATGGGTATTTTTTTGTATTTTACACGCAGATATTGGTTAATTTACTAACAATAAAGGCTGAAAATCATCAAAAACCCACCTGTAACAATACCTGAAATTTTCCTATGTGCGCCGATTAATGCGCCGGTGTTTAGCTGACGCTGCCGTCTCGGCCTCTCCTTGGGCAAACTTCTT